TTTTGGAAAATCCAAGCTGACAGCCACGCTCAGGTTGGGCAATACTTGGCGGTCCCAAGGAGGGTCCAGGAGGCCGAGAGCAACTAAGCCCCTTGGCTCTGGGCACTGCTTGGGCTGGGGTTTGTCTGGTGCCGTGGGTTTATGGCTGGGAGGGACGGAGTCACGTGGGAAAGCTCCCAGGACCCGCAGCTCCGAGGAAGTCTCTGTGTCCCGGCTGCCCGGAGCCACAGATCCTGGGAGCCTCAGCAGTGGATCGCTGATGCTGACAAGGACATAAATTTTGCTGTGCAGCTGCAGGCTCCCAGAAGAGTTTGATTCAGGAAATGCCATCTGCTGGTATTGTGGAAACAGTAAAATTTTCTACGCTTTTCTTTTTTAACTCGGCCTGAAATAATAAGCCATTTCATGAAAGAAATCTTTTTTTTCTTTAACCTCCAGAAGAAAGAATGGGTGCATTATTTTAAAACAAACTATTGGCTATTGTGCGACTTTTTGTTTTTTTTCCAAATAAATTTGACAGTTGTTATAGTATACCGGCATCTAGCAGCATTCACAAACTCTGTATGTTCTCAACCCTCTCCGTCCACCTTCTGTGACTAATTTTTTCACCACGGCACATGCAGTGGCGTGGAACAACTCGATACCGCAGTGCTTATAGAAACGCTGTAGTTATTCAGGCTGTAGCCAGATATTCACTTTTTCTTCGCACTTCCACACGTACCCTAAGTTGGAGTCAGCCAGCTGACGCTGCGGTTCCACTCACAGACGGTATGAGGTTTCAGTCCATCTAGCCTTGCCCTGGGACCAGCCGCGGACCCTCCCGGGATGGTCCCAGCGGCAGCAGGAGGCTGGGGATGAGGGGACCGCAGGTCGGGTACGAGCTGGCGAGCTTTTGGGCTGTGCTGCCGTGTCTCGGAGTGGGGTGAGCTTGAATGGAGGTGGCTGGGCACGGGTCCAGCTGCGGCATCTTGTCGAGCTCCTTCATCTCCCTGTAGAAAACCTGTTATACTCTAGTCTCATAAATACTGCTCTCTCTAGCAAAGCTGTTGGTTTCCCCCCAGTTAACTAAACATTCCTTGCCAGTTACTCATTAAGATGGGCCACACCTTACGCTTTCTGATTGAGACTCAGCGAACAAGAGGTACAAGCCCTGAATACATGTAGCTTTTTCTGGTTTGCCTTGGGGTTGTTTTTTTTCAGTAGCTTATTATTTTCCCTTCGCGTTGTGAGAGCCTTTGGGCTCTCCTTTGGGAGGACTTGCAGCCTTTGCCACACCGTTGTGCTCTGTGGTGGCTTTTTTTTTGGTTAAAACTTTTGCAGTGGAGACAAGATCCTGAAAAAGAGCCAATGAAGCTGTTCTCTCTCCGAGTCTGCCGAATGTATGAAGGGTGCTGAATTGTGTGCTGAAAAGCGCTAGGAAACGTCAGCGTGGCTGAACTGTGCAGTAGTGAACAGAAGAAGGAAGCTGGCTTGCCTACCCCTTAATCTCCCACTGCTTTCTTTCCCCCGTGGTGCCAAAAAATCCCCCACCCAGCGCCCTGCCCAGCTGCTGAGGCACCTACCTCTGCTGTCTGCATCTACCCACCTCGGCACGCTCTGCACAAATACACTGCAGCAGGGACGATGATGGAAATGCAGAGTATGTGTTCATATTCGGTATAAACAGAAGACACAGGCTGTTTAAATGGTAGCTAAATTAAATAATTTCGTATTTGAGCATCTACTAAAAGGAAAAAAAAAACTTGCTTCTGAAGATCTTAGGTTAATTGTTTTCAATTTAATTTAACTTGCAGTCCTTTTAAGAATTATCGGCTAGAAATGTGGATCACTGCAGCAGTCTGCATGTGTAATAGTTAAAAAAACCAACCCAAGGCAAAACCAAAGAAACAAAAAAAAAAACCCTGCACAGAATCCCACAGTGTGAACTAGCTTTTGCAGAGCTCCTTGTTTTAGGTGTAGTCTCTAGCCGTCGCTGTCTGGGACCGTTGTGGGAGCATCACCCCTGGTATGTCATTCTGCAATTAGGATATCTGGCATCAGTCCCTGCTACAGCCAAAAAAGGCAGCAGTCCTTGCTGCTTCTTTCTTTCTCATCCCTTGTCCTGGCACTCGCTTTGGTGTGGCCATACAGTGAACCAGTTGAGGGGAAACTGATCCTCTTAAACCTTTTTATTTATTTGTTTTTATTGGATTAGCTTTCAGTCAATTGATTCCTCTCTCTGGTTCTCTGTGCAGCCACGCGAGCCTGGTTTGCTGCACGAGCATCAGCTCCAGGGAGGGGAGGGGACGTGATTTTGGGCCATCCCTTCTGGTAGGTGCTTGAACTTAACGAGTGGTGGCACCTGCAGCAGTTATGTGCTTATTCTGCGTATCCGTGCACACGGGCGTGTGTGCCCAGGCTCTGCGTAGGCGACGTGCTCTTACTGAGGATGTGTTTAGGATGCTCGCGCTGAAGTGAGATGCAAACAGTGAAGCCAAAGCAGGCTGGAGAGAGCAGGAGAGGTACGGAGACGAGAGCCCTGTGGAGGGACATGCCGGAGGTGACGCTTGCAGGAAAAATCTTGAGAAAGCTAGCTTGGAGGAGAAGTTTAAAATTTGTAGAAATGAGGCAGTATTGTATCTCAGCACACCTTGGAGCCTCTTTAAACTTTAAATCCCAGTTATGACAGTTTTAACCAGCTTGTGTTTGGGTAAGGGTTACTGCACTCAGCTGCTACCATCCAGCAGCCAGCTTCTAGCCCTCCAGAAGCTTTCCCCAGCTCATGAAGGTCAAGAGCAACCAAGAGCAAATCACGCTTAAATCTCATCTCCTAAGATGAGCTAACTGCTTTAGTGGACAAAGGCAGAGCGTTGTTTGGGGCTTAGCACGCTTGTGCAAGGCTGCTGATGCAGCCTGCCGCAGCGTCCTCCTGGCCAAACTGGGGAGGTGGAGGTGGGAAGGGTGGAGAGCTGCCTGGACCATCAGGGGCACGGGGTGGTGGTTGATGGCTTGAGGGCTGCTGGGTGGACGGCTACCAGCGGCATTGCTCAGGTGTTGGTAATGGGGCTGACGCAGTTCAACACCTTATTAACAACCTCCAGGAGCAGGCGGAGCGCGCTGTCAGCGAGTTTGTCCCTGACACCGAACTGGGGGAGGAAGAAGCGGTTGATGTGCGGGAGGGCAGGGCTGCCGTTCAGACCAACAACCTGGGGCATGGGCTGACTGGTACACCTACTCTGGCAAAGGCAAGTGTGCCTGGGACAGGACAATCCCGTGCGACAGGGCGGGCTGGGCTGGGTAGCAGCACTGCAGAGAAGACCCGGAGGTCCTGGTGGACAAGCTGAACATGCATCAGCCAAAGTTGTTTTGAGGTTCTGTGAGATTTTATGCTGGAGGAGGATTTCTATCTTAAAACATGTTATAGAGACCTTAGGAAAGGACAGAGTAATAACGCTTGAGATGTTCGTAATCCACGCAAACGGGACGATTCGTGAGTGTGTGGGTGCTGAGGCAATGTGCATGATCGTGAGAGGTTTGCCTGCCCTCAGGAGGGCAGAGGTTTGTGGGTGGCGAGTGGATATGAAATGTGAAGGCTGCATGCATTTTTCTTAATGAGTGGCTTACAGTGAACGTTTTAGCTGAAGTCCTGCTTTGGTGATTTCTTTCATGCAAAGCCACACTGGGCGGAAAAACAGTTGGGGCTTTTTTTCTTTTTGCTTTCTTACGTGTCCTGTAAGGAAGGTGAGGGAAAGACCAGGTGGCATCCTGTATACAAATATGAAATCTGTTCTGCTAGATAAAATGCAGAGGTTGCTTCCAGGCTGAGAGGAATATATTTTAAGAAGGAGAGAAGGAAGGAATTGCCTTTTTTTCCGTAACAGGAGAGTATAAATGTAACCGTTGTGCTGTAGTGCTTTTTAGGTTACTCTGGCTGGAATTTAGGTTACTGTATTTAACATGTCCGAGTGCTTCTTTTAATGGAGTTCCCTGCAACGATTTTTGTTTTCCAGCTCCTTGCAAGTGTTCACTAATAGCACAGCGAGCAGAACTCTGTACGTTGATGAAGAACTACCAGCAAGCTCTTCATGACGCGGACGTCCTCTGCCGAAACAAACCCCACTGGCCTGCGGTACGGTGATTGCATGTCGTAGAGACCAAAATGAAAACTGCTTGTTCTCGGGGCTTCTCTCTGTGGTGGGGACAGTGTTCATATCTGTGCTTCCCACCTGTGTCATGGTGATTCATAGAGGGGGTTGGGATTTTTTTTTTTTCATAATGAAAGGAAGTGCTACAAGGAGCGTGGGTTTGTGGGCAGTCTGAAGCAAGCATCAGAAATGATGTTACGAGAGAGAAATGGAAGAAGCGCCTGGAGCCCGTTATTACCGCCGGTTGCCTGAGGCTAGACCGGGTGTCCGACAGCTCATCCCACCTAGGATTGCACCTCTGGTCAGTCCCTAACCCATCAGTAGCAAAACTGCAGCACAGGTTTGACCAGATAAAGCCCCTGGGGGCTACCTGGAGAGAGGGTAGCACTGGGAGTTGGAGAAGGATTTTAGGCAGACCTTGGCTTCCCTGTGAAGACTAAGGAGGTGTTGCATGAACCCCTCGGCCGCCTGCCTCGGCCTGGGGGGCTGCAGCTAGCTCTCTGCTTCCAGCTGGGGGAGACGTGGGGCACGTGGAGAGGAGCCGTCTGAAGCATCTCGTTTCTGACGAGTTAGGTACTTGTCTCTGACGGCTGTCTGTCTTGTCACCCCTTAAACCCAAGAAATTTGTCATCATGGCATAACCAGCAGTGTCACAGACACATTTCACTTTGCTTGCGTGTGTGTGAGAACTTCCGTGGGAGCTGTGCTGATCCAGAACCCATGTTCTCCAGGAATTCTGGCATCTGCTTTGTTTTGTATCTTGAGGCATTCAGTGGCAGAGATTAGCTCAAACATGCGCTGTGTAGTTAAAAAAAAAAAAAAAAACCAAAACCATAAAATTAAACTCTTTCTGGGAGTAGCTCCTGGGAGGCGAGCATTCACCTACCAGTACGTTTGGGCTCACTGAGAACTCAAATGTAGTGGCTCACTGAGTTCCTGGTGAAGCTCTTGGGTCCAGTGTATTTACTGGAGCAATAGACAAGTTGGTTTCTTTTCAGCTGCTATGAAACCCAGGTCCTTCGTCTTTCTAAGGTGGGGAGAAGTTTCCAGTTGTAGTTTTACTTGGCGGATAGAACCAGATGCCCTCCTGCCTGGATCCTGCCTGCTGCACAAGGTCCTGCCTCGACCTTACCCTTCAGTCCGATGCTTGTCAAGGCTGTGTGAAAAGAGGAACGGGAAGGTGGCAGTGGTGGTCTTTGAAGTGTCTAGTCCCTGGGCCTCACTTCTGGTGTTGGATCTTTAGGTGTTTTGTCCCTAGACAGCCAAGCTCAGTCCTCCCTTGCAGCTTGGATAAGGAAATTGCTCTTGCGGCCCTGAAGGACGAGGCCAAATAGCCTTGTAGCCTCCCCAGTGCAGTGGAGTAGTCTTGACAGTGATGTCAGGCGTGTTAGGGCCTCTCTAAAAAGGTTTTACAGAGATTGCGAGCATCAAGATAAGAAGGTGAGGGTCAGGCCTCACAGCACCTCTTCTTACTGCATTCGGGAAAAGAAAAATGTATCTCGCCTTGAGAGATTGGTGTGTACTGAGACTTCTTGTTCAGGTCACCGAGTGACATACGTTAAGTAACCTGTCTTACACAGTGCCTGTTACTTGCTTTTGGTACAAGCCTCCTACTTCTTGACGGTAGAAGGGTAAAGATCTTAACGGGGCTCAGCTTGAAGGGCTGTATTGAAACAGCGAGGAAGGTACCTGCTCAGGAAGATTATGTGATACAGGATCTTTTGGCATTAGTATGACGAATAGAAAAGTGTATCTGCTTATCTAACCAGTCTCTCAGACTAGTGAAATTGTATTTTCAGCACAACCTAGAGATACTCATGTGGATCAGAGGTGGACTTGCAGAGCACACTTCTGTCTAATAAGCAAGAGGCAAATCTCTAAATGCACACTTAGTTTCTTTTCATCGTTACGGAAGTATTTTCTGTAGCCCGATTTGAAGTGCAAATTGATATCTGTGGAGAAATTCAGGGGTGAGGCATTCCTGTCTTGCTACTAGTAACAAGTAGGACTTGTCCCCAAGCTGACTACCATACCTGTTGGCCATGGATGGGTTACTCCAGGACGTGGGAGAAGTAGGATGGGCTAAAAGGTTTCAGGGTAAGCCTTGGTAAGTTGCCCTAAATTCATAATGTTGTTGGTCTTCTCTAGCAAAACAAAATAGGTGAAAAATCATCTCTGTCCTGGTAAGACACCGAGGAGAAGTGAATGTCCTGAACCTAAAATCTTTTGTTCCCTCAGCTGCCGCCTCCAGCCTGCCCCATGCCACTGCCTTTCCCATGCAGCTTCATTACTGTTAAGTTTGCCCTGGTATGTGAAACTGTTCTCTGGCGTATCGAGCCCGGTGGGATATGTAGTAGTCTTGGTCCCTGGGGAGAGAAATACCCCTCCTCGTTCTGCACCAGGTCCTGCCTGGGGAAAAGAGCAGTGTCTTTGGCAGGGGGTGATGCAGCAGTGGGTTCCTGGGGGATCTTCAGCAAAAGTGGCTGACTTTCCTTCAGTCGCGTGTGTTAAAGAGGTTGTTGGCCAAAAAGCATCTTGCTCTTCACCTGCAGAATGGCGTGAGCTTCCAAGTTTGTTTGCTGATGTCTTGCTGTCACTTCAGAAATGATCTCTAGGTTTGTATGTTTCCTTTGTGTGAACAGGGCCATTATGTGAAAGCAAAAGCTCTTTCTGGATTGGAAAGGACTGAGGAAGCATTGAAGGAGTTTCTCTATTGTGTTGCCTTAAATCCTGAATGGAGCTCAATGAAGAAAGAAGCCCAAAAGGTATAAAATGTATTTATTAGCCACTTCTGGGCCATCATGCTGCTCTTACTCCTGCAGCCTAGTAAAATTTGTGTTATTTCAGGTGATAATAAACAGCCAAAGGATAATTTGATTCAGTAGACTCTCCAATAAACCTTATTAGCATTACGCTGTGCAAGGCACCTCTCGGGTTTGGTTGATGCCTCAACCAGAGGGATTGTATATTTGTGGATCCGACTGCAAATCTGGAGTTTGGGCCGCTGTCGTTTGTAGATTACGCTTGCAGTATGTCGGCCGGATTTGAGTACACCTGGATTTTGTAGGCTTGAGGCTGCTAATTTTAGTGCCCATCAGAAAACCACTTTAAAATGGGAAGTGGCAGAGGGTTGGCAAGGGGCAGATGTGTTCTGCCCTGTCCTGGAAAAATCCTGCAGTCTCTGTAGCAGTTTGTCCCTTATGGGAAATTAGATGCACTTAGTGCTAACCAAATATCGTCAGGTTCTCTGTGACTGTCCATACAGGCAGCTTTTTCTGAAAAGAAACTGGGGTTTGGCAAGGCGCTTGGTATGGACTGGTGAGAGGGGGGACAGGCTCCACACAGCTTTGAGCTAGGGGTGAAATCTGCTTGAGGATAGAGGAGATGGATGCAGAGCATGAGGGCAGCTTAAAGACATCTCTGTTAACCAATTTTGATGGGAGAGCGTGGTCTGAAGACTTCAGGAGGCAGGGGTCTGAGGGTCAGGGTGGAGATGGGTAGGGGCAGGAGAAGAATGCAACAGACTGCCGCTCCGGGTGCTCCTGGGGAGCAGAAGCCTTCGGGGAGGGAGGTGGACGCCAGAAGAGCACCCTGGGTTGTGCCTGTGGTTGTGGTGGGGACTGCCATTCAAGTTTCCTGTGGGCATTGGGGAATGCAGGATGTCCTGGTTGTTGCAAGCTTCTTGGCATCCAGAAGCTGTGAAGTTTGTGTATCTGTGTTTGTGCAAACATAAATATCTATGTCATAATTATTATTATTTTTTCTTTTTTTCTCTCTCTAATTGACTAGATAATGTGTGAGATGTTTTTCCCAGCCTTTGAAAATGTGCATGATAGTCTAACAGCACCTTTCTCTAGTCGAACGTCCCATACGAGATTGAAACCCGCATTTCTGAGTAGCATAAACACACAGTCAGCTGTGGAAGACAGCTCTGTTGCTGGGTCCTCAAAGGTAAAGTAAAAAGCGTTCAACATAAAAATACCAAAAGTAACACAAGGATCTGTCTGATCTGTGTGACATTATCTTTGTCTGCACTCATGTAGGCACTTACTTTCATGGTAAGCTTGTTTTCTCCATTGCTGTTGGATCTTGTTGTTCGGATGTACTTCCTCAGAAGAATAAGAGAATGAAACTGTTTTTTCAGAAGACAATGTGATGCCTTCATGTGGGGTTGATGATATTTGTGGGTGTTTTTTTTCACTCAGGATTTTAGTATGAGAAGAACATAATTTCTAGGGACAGGAGCTGCAGGGAGAGAAGTGGCCCTATTTCATGCAACTGGAGAGTGTCCTTCTTTGATATGGACCTTGCTCCCTTGCTAAGCTCACTGTAGGGACATTGATCTATTGCTGATGTATACAACTAATAGAAAAAAACAAAGCAAAATTGTCTCATGCTGTGTATAACTGTTCTTAATTTTTTTAGGATACTGTGTTCAGGTTAACAAAAACCCCGTCCCAAGAATCTGATGTGTTTAGAAGCTCTGATTCTCCTGTTCCCCATCATGTTCTGGATCTCTATTTTGAAGACAACAAGAAGTCTTTGGGAGCTATTCTCTCCAGTTTACCTGGGGCTGGCTTAAAAAGAAAGCTGTCCAATGATATGAGGGATTTACAAAGCTTGGATGTCCCCAATAAGATTCCTAAAAAAGGTTTGTGTTGTGGCATGGGAAGGGGATTTCTTTTGCACATACTGAAAATTATAAACTACTTCTTTCCTTCTCCCTTTTTATAGGTGTCAATGAAACATTCCCTACAGGGATCGTAATAATACTTTGTCTGGTGTGTCTGTTTCTGCTGTAACAGCTTATTTACCTTATTCCAGAGCAGTTTCATTCATTCAATGAACACTGTATTTTTCTTTCTCAAATGGGCCATTTCCAACGTGTAATCCAGTAACAGTTTAGTAGTCTGTGTTGCTGGTGCCGCTTCCATTTTCTAGGTCTCAGAGGTATAGCTGAACTTCATTGTCTTTCTATATAAAGGAAAGATGCAGTAAGCCTGGAAACTAATCTTTAACTGGCATCAGAAACAGTCACATGTAACTTTACATGAAACTTTCCAAGCAAACAAAGAAGCCTTTTGAAGGGTAGTAAGTCCCCCTCCAGTTTTCTGTCACTTGATAGCAGTGCTTACAATCAGTATGCTTCTCAAGCTTCTAATAAAGACCTCCAAAGTGGTGTTAGTGCTCCGGGATAAAGATGCTGAAGGCAATATATTGCAGAGTAGTGAAATAATTGGTTAAAAGGGACTTTGAAAGCACTGCTATACTACTGTGCATTTTTTCCCTTAAAGGAAAAAAAACCCCAACCCACACCTCCTTGACAAATCTCACTTCTGCCTTGAAATATTAAAAGTCTTCAAGTGCTTCTGTCGGTCTGCTGCCTCTGCAAATGACGACTGTATGGCCAGTTTCTGATCATGTTGCCATGAAGGGAAGAACCCTGTACTTGCCTATGAACTGCAGACTCAGTAAATAAATTGTGAAATCTGACCTGCCTGTATCTTCACAGCGAAGGCCAGAGATCACATTTTACCCATAACCATTAATTTCTGGTCTGTGCTAGATCCCGATGCCATGTTACTATTTGCAGAATTAACACAGTTAGGTTCTTGCTATTACTAAATGCTAACATGCGAGATGTAGGTTAAAGATAACGCTGTTTTTCTTTGTAGGCCACACAACACCAGTGCCCTCTCCCCTATCCCATCTGGGCTTGAGATAAACCAGATGCTGAGCATAAGTTATCCTTTAACAAAACATCCTAGTGTTTTAACTTAACATAAAAAGCTGAGCTTTTTTTTTTTTTTAAATGGTCAAGAATTTGCTTAATAAAAAGGACATGGAGGCAGAATCCATGGCTCTGTTGCAGCTCATCACTGAGCAACAAAGATGCGGATTGTAAAAGAAGTTACAGAATCTGCTTGTATAAATGTCACCAGAAGCTCGAACTGATAGGTCTTGAGCTTAAATGCTGCTGCTGTGAAGTTTGAAGCCCATACCCTGTAATCATGTTAACTGCAGGGATATATACCACCCCCCAAAAACCAGGGTGGGCAGAATTTTAAGTGAAGTGTTTTGCTTCTGTGTTTGCAGAGCGCTGAACTAGTGAAATCGGTATTAGCTAGTGCAACTCCAGTAGTCCTTAAACTTTAAGCTGTCTGAAACTTGGGATTTTGCATAGCAGCCTAGTCTAGAAGAATGTAAGCTTTTTTTATACTTGTTCGAAAAATTACCCCTGCTGAGAAATATATAATAAACACTGATGAAATAGTTTAACTGTGTGTAAACAAATTAAATTCTGGACTTAATGTCCTTTAAAACATCTGGCCTGGCTGATGTGGGAGTGGTGATGGTGGTGGGAAAGCAATAGCAGAGTATTTTAAAAACTAGACTTCAAAAAAAAAAAAACAACAAACCAACCACTTTTGGAGAAGCAAATCATGGGTATTTAGCTCTAAAGTGCTTTGGCTGGCCATAGACATCATCCTCTGATCTCCAAAAGATTTCCTGCCAGAAAGTCTAAAACTTAGATGGAAAATATGTTTTTTTGGAACAAAACTTCAAAAAAAAAAAAAAAAAGAGATAAATTAGGTTCTTTATGGAAAAACAATTTAAACAGTAAATAATTGTCATCTTAACTACTTAGATGCAGATGTTTCACCTGAAAACACCGCTGTCACTTCAAGTGAAATACCAGCAACTCTGGTGGATGCGTCGGACTTTGAGTGTTCCCTCTGCATGAGGTATGACTGCATTGACCTGGGATTAAGATCAGAAAGCCTTTCTAGTTTCTGAAAAAAGTTTTCAGGGTGTCAGAAGGGAAACTTGCCAGAGAATGTCTAAATCATGACTCTCTTACTTTTTGCTGAACCTTGCATCTGGTGAATCTTTACAGATGTGGTTTTCTCCTTTATGCATGGTTTTCTCCATTGTTTACCACTTGTAAATGAAAACTTTTTTAATATCCTTAGATAAAACTGACACCTGTGCTTTATACAGAAGCAGAAACGGAAGAGATGGCTAGGTGTAGTCACTCCTTTCCACAGTTTGGGAATCTGCATTTTTTGTGTTGGCAACTTAGCTTTTCTGTTACAGGTTGTTCTATGAACCTGTTACCACTCCCTGTGGACACACCTTTTGCCTCAAATGCCTTGAGCGTTGCCTTGACCATAATCCGCATTGCCCGCTCTGCAAAGAAAAGCTGTCAGAAGTAAGTATGTCCTTGCCCCAATTAACAAAAACGCACAAAACTCTTCTTCTGAAAGCATCTATGTGGGGATTTTCTGTGCTCTACTCGCAAGCTGCAATAAAAGAAGAGTGGCCAGCAGGTTGAGGGAGGGGATTCTGTCCCTCTGCTCTGGTGAGACCCCACCTGCAGTTCTGTGTCCAGCTCTGGGGTCCTCAGCACAGGAGAGACGTGGACCTGTGGGAGCGGGTCCAGAGGAGGGACACAAAAATGATCAGAGGGATGGAACACCTCTCCTCTGAGGAAAGCATGAGAGAGGTGGGGTTGTTCAGTCTGGAGAAGGCTCTGGGGAGAACTTATAGCAGCCTTTCAGTACTTAAAGGGGGCTAATAAGAAGGATGGGGACAGACTTTTTAATAGGCCCTGTTGCGATAGGACAAGGGGTATTGGTTTTTAACTAAAAAAGGGTAGATTTAGACTAGATATAAGGAGGAAATTTTTTCGTATGAGGGTGGTGAGACACTGAACAGGTTGCCTGGAGAGGTGGTAGATGCCTCATCCCTGGAAACATTCAAGGTCGGGGTGGACAGGGCTCTGAGCAACCTGATCTGGTTGAAGATGTCCCTGCTCATTGCAGGGGGGTTGGACTAGATGAGCTTTAAAGGTCCCTTCCAACCCAAACTATTCCATGGTTCTACGAAACCAGAACAACACAGTAGTACCCACAGCATCAAGCTGTGAGCAGACCTCATTTGCTCCAGAATGTGTTTTGTCATCCCTTGGAAGACAAGTGGGGTTTGCTGGTGCTTAAAGGAACAGAGGCTTCCAGTAAGTATCACATCAGGTTCATGCCTGGGTAGTCCCGTTGATACCATATCTCCAGTTTGTGTATGTACCTGCGATGAATGAGGAATGGTCACTCCTTGGTCAACGCTTCTGCTGCAGCAGACAGAAAGTGTCTTGGACTTGGAGTAATACTTGCCAGGAACCTGGCAGCTCTGGGTGAACAGAATATATGTATCTTCTGCAAAAGCGAGGCGGGACTGCCTTTTCTTGCTGGTAGTACAACTTCTGCCAAAAAAAGGGCATGGGGTTATAGTTACATGGGCACCGGGGTGAACCACATACCCCAAAGTGGAAGTTTTGATGCCTGAAGGCTGGAAAGGAGGAGGAATCAGTACAGTCCTGACTAACGTGCTGTTTGGCTTTAGGAAAGGGATGGGTAGGGAGGAAGAGATGTTACCTGTCTTCTCATTATTAGACTTAGAGTTGACTCTTCCTTGCAGTTTCTGGCAAGCAGAACTTACAAGAAGACCGTCCTTACAGAAGAACTGATAGTCCGTTACTTGCCAGAGGAATTATCTGAAAGGAAGAAAGTTTATGAGGAAGAAATGAAGGAATTGTCAAAGTAGGCTCTCTTTTTACTACTGACAGCTGTTAGAAAAATGATATTTTTCAATCTAAATTACTGAAGAAGCTTCATTTGCTTATGCAGATGCACAAAATGAACGAATTTGTAAATGAACCTGCCAGATGTTTTGTATTTTTGATATGTTTGTGGCTGATAAACAAGTAACAATATGCTTGGATGGTAGAGAGGCACACCAGTATTCCTAAAATAAAGATAATTGCTTTTTCCTCTGAAACAATATAATAGCTTTAAAAGTTATAATGGGGGTTTTCTGGGAGTAGAATTCAAATTATAGATGGGTTATACTTCAGGTCAGGAGAAGTTCAAGGATCCAGTTTTGTCAGTGACTTGTGGATCTTGCGCTACAACTCAACTAAAAAGAAAATTTTTTTCAGGCTTAATTGCAAGTTTTATTTAAGTGGATTAGTGGGCTTCTTCAAAATTAAAGGGCTTTACTGAGCTTGGGAATTCTGTACCATCTTGCTTTGAACATGGCTAGTTCTTAGGTACTATATTACTGGAAAAATTTATCACCAAAATCTTGCCATGTGTATTTAAGCTAGATGTATTGGTGTGCACACGTTTGGGAAATTGCCCATTATTTCCTGACTTTTCCTCTATGAAAATAGATTAGAGGGATTATTGCCTTAATGTATTAACAGAAAGAGTCCTGAAATATGTTTGTCTTGTAAAAATGACAAACCTCGACTAGATAAGCCTTTATGAAGAATGAGTCTAAGGAAACCACTGGAATCGGTGTCATATTAAGGGTTTATGCTGAATATAGCAGTATCCAGAAAAAAGCTGAATTTTTTTTTAATAATTATTTTACAGTTTGAATAAAGATGTTCCCATCTTCGTATGTACCATGGCCTTCCCTACCATCCCTTGCCCACTCCATGTCTTTGAGCCTCGTTATCGCCTAATGATAAGAAGATGCATGGAAACTGGTACCAAGCAGTTTGGCATGTGCTTAGCTGACGAATTAAAAGGGTAAGGAGATGAGCTGAGAATGTCCTGTTGTTGCAGAGGCTGTTGTGACACTAATGGAGTACTACAGGCAGTATACTTGTCTCCCCAAACCACTGTGGTTCCTTCCAGTCCTGTATGAACCAATACTAAAGTGGCTGGCTTTTTAGGTTTGCATCTTAAACGTTCCTTTTGACACAATGATGTAATTTTTATTGCTCCCCTGTTGGATGGATAGCAGGAATACAACGCATCCTGCTACTACAGGCTCCAAAAATAGCTCTTAATCGTCTATGTGGTTGGAAAGCTTTCTAGCCTGTTTGTTCTAGTGAAAGCTGTCTGGATAAGGTTGCTCCTCTGTCTACTCAGTTTCAAAACCAAAAATAATATATATGTTAAAAAAAAAAATCCAGACCTTCCATAGGTTTCTTGCATAGGTGGTATCATTTGAATGAGACAAAGTATACCCTTGGCTGAGAAGACTGTTCTGCTGCTGAATGTTGAAATTTGATGTTTGTCTTTACTGCTGTGTTGCAATGTCTAAACTATCTGCAGTGAGTGGGTTACGTTGTCTTTCTATATGATCTCACCTTTAATTCATTTTTGTGAATTCTGACACTGGTGTGTTTCCAGCTCCCTGTGCGGAGACTGACTTAGATGACCTTTAAAGGTCCATTCCAACCCAAACTATTTTATGATTCTATGAAAACCTTCAGGTTTTTAAGTCCTTTATAGATAATAGGGTTTTAGGTGAAAGGGATAAGAAGATGCTTGTGGGAAAACAATAAGGTGGTCTTAAAAGAGATGTAATAGATAGTTGCTGACTTCAGAAGGTATGTTGGCGTGATGCAGACTGTAGAATGGATGGCGAGCGTGGGAATTTTTAAGAACACGTTAGACAGGCATGCTCAGGAGCAGCATTTTTGTAGGTGATCATCACTGGAGCTGAGAGGAGGGCAGTCATACCAGGGCTTGGCAGCCTTTCCTTGTCCAGTTCAGGTGGGTTTGGATTGTGGGCTTTTTTTTTTTCTCTCCGACTGGACAGTGAGGTGGCAGTAAGAATACAGGAGATGCTATAGGTTCCAGATGCTATGGCTTCGGCTCTGGCTATGCTTCATGCCATTTGGTGTGCTGCCCTCAGTGGAGTTCAGGCTCCAAGAGCAGCTGATGCTCCATGGTCCCTTCCAGACCTATTACCAATTTTCTGGAAGCAAATGCTTGTAAGAGTGAGGACAAAGTGACCCTAGGACATTGTTACTCCCCTTAGTCTGTGGAAGAGCCAAACTTATTTGGAGGTGGGTCTAATACAGAGGGCCAAGGGGTTACAATCCCAAAACCACAAGAATTGGTTTATTAGATAGTGTCATAAAGGGTATTTTAAAATGCAGCTGATATGGTTAGATTTTTATGTCCTGTCTGTTTTGAGTTACTAAAATAATTAAACTTTTAAAGCATGGTAATTTAAATCAAACAGTGAAGCGGAGGAAGCCTTAATCTGTAGACACCTGGCAGGCTGTTGTACCTTCTTACACAAGTAAAGAAGTTCTTCTGTTTATTCAAAATTGCAAAATCAACTGGGAATATGAAAGGTGGGGTAACTCGTTTTGCCTCATCTACTAAGACATGGATACATACCTCCCTTGAAAAACACAGTGACAAGACATGTTCAATTTATTACCTTCCTCTATTTTATTTCTCCATTTTAAGTCAAAACTGGGAGAAGAATATAAACTTCTAATGTGTCAGTACATTTCATACCCATCTCCAGGTGCTCTCTTGTCTCTCTTTGATTAAAATAACTTTTTATCCAAAAGTAACTTCTCAAAGAATGACAAAAAATCATCACTTCTAGAATAATTTCTAAATTTGGTATGAAAGTCACTAAAATCATTGATTTTAAGCAATTGTAATGTAGCTCTTCAAATACTGTTTAGTCTAATATTGCTATAATAAACTCACTTTTTGTAATCCCACTGGCAGAGCACCAGGGCTTAGCTGTGTGCAACTGTACTCTTCTTGCTCTTCCTCAGTTTGTTCTGCACAATGTCCAGGAGAGAATGGTTGTTCACAGTGGTGAGCTTTTTTTTTCCCCTCTCAAACCCATGATTTCTGGTAGAGTAGAAACAGGAGTAATTTCCCTGCAGCGTCGCTGTTTCGTCATCACTCCGATGTAAGAAATGGCCAAGCCCTGGTAAAACAAGTGTTTCCCTGATGAAACATTTATCAGACCTTGCAGGAATTTGGTACCTTGAGGTGAGACTAGATATAGTGCATTCTCCAGCTTAGCAGTAGGCTGAGGTGCAGAGCTGCAAACGCTGGCAGATCAACATATCGTGGTGAAGAGTCATTCTGTGATCAGCCTTTCTAGTGAACTCACTAAGCACCGATGTAGAGTAGGTAAGCCTGATAATTTAAAGTAAAAATCTGTTGCATGCTTGTTTCCAGGGCATGATTAAAACCTGTGCCTACTTTAAATATAACTGATAGAAATGTGCTTTTGTAAAGAGGGTGTTTTGGGGTTGTTTGGGGATTTTTTGTTTGTTTTTGCTTTTTGGTGTTTTTTTTTAGGAAAGGAAACAAGTGCAAGAAAGGTCTTGCTATATAGAAGCCTTTTTCTCCTAAAGCCTGTAATCCTCTGCTTAGACATCAGAGTAGGGGGACAGCCCTCCCAGCCCTGCATTTGTTCCTCAGTTTCTGGACTTCCTTACGTTATCTTTACCCATCTTGTTTTCTTTGCAAACCAGGTGAATTTGCCACCAGCAGCTGGCAACGCCCAGCATGAAACATGCTTCATTTAGTTTCCTGTCCCTTCCCAACCCTCCCACTCCGCAAATACACTCCGAAAATGCTGCTGCCGTGGACCTCTGAGGGAAGGCAGAAAGGGTGGGGGTTGTGTGGCTTATGTGAGTAAGCAGAAATGTATTGTCACCAAAGCAGGATCCTCTTTCAAATAAGAAGTGGTGAATTAGGCCCAGTATTTGTCCTGATGTGTATAAACACTTGTTGATGACTTCCACTTTTATGCCCTTCTGTCATTTCAGATTTGCAGATCATGGCTGTATATTAGAGATCAGGGACGTAAAGTTTTTTCCTGATGGGCGCTCAGTTGTTGATACAGTTGGTGTCCGTCGTTTTAGGGTCTTAAGCCATGGCCAGCGAGATGGATATAACACAGCAAACATCGAGTATCTTGAAGATAAAAAGGTGATCTATGGTGCAAAGTTATTCATACCCATGTATTGCTGGATTCACTTAAATAGTCTTTCCTTGTTGCATTTCAAGCTAGCTGTGCATTATTTTAAACCAATATCATTATAAATACTAAAGCTCTATTTTGAAAACCATGGAACAAACTTTGTCTCTTCCTTCCCTTTCTTCCTTTCTGCCCTTATAATTATCTTTGCTTGAAGTGTTGCACTCCCTTCATGGATCTCAAAGTAGCTTCTGAGACTCAGGTGCTGAGGTCTGTCATGATGCGTAGATGAGGTCAGAGTAACATTTTAAAACTGATAGGGACTTGAAACCCTTTCTAAGAGCACACACCCCTGTTGTTAGAGAACTGACTATTCTCTTCTTGCACTGAACAGACAGTTGGCAGACTGCATGTGACCTCCAAGCTCTCATTTACAGAACGGGTCCTCAAACAAATGTGGGAGTCCGCTCTTAAAATGAGGTCCTAGTGACATGTAGTTAACCATGCCTGTACAAGCATCCATCAGAGCTGGCTGAGAGCAGAGAAATGCAGAGAGGGGAGTAGCTTTTAAAACCAAGTCCTCTTGTAAAACCTGCATCAAGTGAAGTGCTTGTGATGGGTGTTGGCCAAAGGGTGAATTTTTGGCCATTGTTAATGATGACTTCCTGGATCATCTTCAGAGCATGTCTGTAAAACCCTGATCCCTCTTAACACTGAGTTTAGTAGTAGTCTCATGCCAATTGATGAAGTCCAGTCTGGTCATACAGCTCTTCAGCGTGCTCTCATAGTTGAAGCGCAAGTCTGTAAAGTCTTGGTAGGGCTTTTCTCACCTGTGCAGGATAATGCAGTTGTTTGCCAGGGCATGAAAGGCAGATCGCATGGAGGTGCCTCCCCCTGCAAAAGGCTGGAGTATTTAGTCTGCTCAGTGAGGGCTCTGATGTGTTTAAATCCCCAGTGAAGGGTGGTGGAACACAGGTATCCAGGCATTGTCTGTAGATGGTGCCAGACCCACCTCTTCATAATTAGGGTGAGATTTACCTTGTCTCACTCGAGAGGCTGACACCTGTGTTCAGCACCCTACGTTCATGTTATATCTGATGGTGAGAAATCTCAGTCCAAAGCTGCCTATTTTATCTGCTCTGTCTTAGACCTACCTTAAGGTGAGATTAATGGCCCTCGAGCTGTTTCTCCTGGACTGTGAAGGGCATCCAGAGCAGCTAGCTCAGATGTGCATCTGAGTAGCCCAGGTGAATCACACCATTGGTGTGTACAGATTACAGGGGAAAAAAAAAAACCAAACCCAACCAACAACCCCAAACTAAAAACTAAACAAACCAAAAAACCAAATCGCCAATTTGTAGTGGTTTTTTTGCTTATGCTTTTTGATTTTCCCTAATAGCTAATAGTTAGGCCTGTGCAACTAAAACACTCTTTGCCTCAGCGAGGGTATTTTTTTTTTTTTATGGCCATTCCTGGTATTGGGAAAGCATCTACTTTCCCTGCTTTGTGCCTGCTCAGGTGTCTGCCCTCCTCCTCCTCCTTGGCTGTCCTACCATAGCCTTAACACCGCTACAAAGTACTGCTGGTCTCTAAGTGCCGTAGACCCCCGTCTCTCTGCTCGGTGGCAGTAGTGTTTGTTTTATTTTGCCAGATGATATGCCAATGTTCAGAGGTCCTTCTGTGACAGGGACTCAAGGTTGTGGGTTTGAGATGATTAATATGATGTCCCGGGATCAGAGAGCAGATTCTTCTGTTGTGCCAGCATTTAGGAATGGGTATTAATGAGGCAGTAACTGCTCCAAGAAATATCACTTCAGAACACCTAGGGGAGGGTAAAAAGACTCCAGCATCACAGGTTTGAAATCTGAGACCTGGGTACAGTTTGCCTAGATAAAAACACTTGAACAGCCGTAGTCACTGCATTATTTTGCTTCGCTTGTTTCTGGGGAAGCATAAGGACTCCACGGTATCAAACCTGTTTTGTTCCATCTCCCTTCTTTTAACAATAAGGTTGAAGGACCGGAATATGAAGAACTTGTCCGCCTTCATGATTCAGTTTATGATCAAGCTGTTGCCTGGTTTACTTCTCTTAAAGACAATATGAAAGTGCAAATTCTCAATCACTTTGGGTCCATGCCTGGAAAAGAACCAGAGCCACAGGTAATAAAACCTTCCTACTTACGCAGCCTCATTCTATACAGAATTTTTACACAAGACTATTTTCTGACAAGTTTTTGCTGTGGTTTCATACATTTTAAGCCCTTTATTTACCCGATTTTGGTCTATTAGCATGAAGCACAGAAGACAATCAGTGGAAAACAATATAAGTTGATATCTGAAGAGATCAGTCTTAATGGTGTCTATAGACAAGGAGAGCACCTGAAATTAAGTGTGAACTGGTTTATGGTGACTTTCTTAGCAAATAAAGGGTGGGAAGGAAGGTGGCGTTCTTCATGGGGCAATGAATACTTGATTGCATGTCTTTCCATCCTTTTGCAGAGCAACCCCAGTGGTCCTGCCTGGTACTGGTGGCTCTTGGCAGTGTTGCCTCTGGAAAACAGAGCTCAGCTGGCTATATTGGCAATGACCTCCCTTAAAGATCGTCTTATCGCCATCAGACGCGTATTGATATTTGTGACTCGCAAAAGACCCAGATAACATGGACTTCAGTTGTGAGTGGGCACCAAAAACATCTCACGACAGGTTATTCTGGGGGAGGGCAAAGGGGGAGGGGTTGTTTTGGGGTTTTTTTAAAGATTCCTTCAAGAAGGAACAGCCCTTTCTGACTGTGTCCAGCATCCATCGATTGCATCGGTTTGTTATCCTGGGTATTCACCAAACCTTGCACTCTCTCCTGTTGTCCTGGTGAAATCTGAGCCTCTACAAAGCTGTGCTACAGTTAGAGCGTAGCTGATAGATGTGGACAGTTGCTTCAAAGTACTACGATAGAATTGATGTTTCTAGCCTGCAAGAGAGTTAAGTACTAGAGTAGCACCATTGGCCTGCATGTGATTTGGATTTCTACTTGGTAGGAAAAGGAAACTGGACAGTGGATTGAAGAGGTGTTTCCTAGACTTTCTTGAAGGTAGTGAACAGAAGAGGAGTTACGCTGCCTGGCAGAAGTATGCATGAAGACTAACCAACAGTACACTGTTAGTGAATTGGTAGGCAGTCTGTCATACACCCATGTCTCTCTCTCTTCAGCAAATAACAGTCTGTGAGGAAAACAAAATTTAAGCTGTTTGTGGTCAAGGCATCTGAGGATGTTTATCTGAAAGAATAATAGCTACTGAATAAGTAGACTATTTAGTAGCCTTAGGTAATCCCTCGTGTTGTGATTTATGTGTTGTGGCGGGTTGAGTATGTACAAAATGTTTGGAAAGGTGTACTTTGGTTTATTTGAAAAGACAAATCAAAGTAATCCTAGCTGGTCTTATTGCTAAATTCAAATCAAACCGGCTCCCTAAAGTATGATAAACGCTGCTGTGAAATAATGATTTCACCCCAAGTACAAGGGAGGCATGCTGCAGTTTACGCTGAACACCTAATCTGTGAGTGGGACTGGCGAGGATGAAACGCAGAGAGGTTTCCATCTCCCTCCTGCCTGCAGTGTCATGCCAACCTCCCGTTACTTTGGGGTGATCTCTACTGAACATGTTTCAAACCGAAAGTATTGTAGTTTAGTACCAGTTGCTGTATGTGATGGAAATCAGTCCACAATAACATCGTGAAAGGAGGCACAAACCGAACCTATAAAGGCAAGTCTCAATGCAAGCTTAAGTCAGGTGTTAACCTTCATTTGTCTCTTGGATTATTTTTTTAATGTATTGTTTTGTTAATATCTAACTTTGATAGCTATTAAATTGATCACTTGTCAGTCAAATGATCAACACTTGCTCAACTGCCAATGAAATAACTAGCAGTGTTACCAATTCAATTGGCATAGTTTCCAGTAAGTAGATCTGATACTACCAACAGGGAAAAAAGTTGACTTGAATCTCCATGTGCTGCAAGCATAGCAAGACCAATGTAAAGACCTATTCACGTACAGAAGTCTGGTAAGAAGAAATGGCTGTTTACCTAAATAGTCAAAGTGCCTGGTTTCTTTTTTTTTAGTTCTTTTGTCCTTATTTGTCAATGAAGATGTATTTAAACTTTTTTTTCACTTTGCACATGAATTCTGGAAGAAGACTGCATTAAAATGCAGTGGTTGAGATATATTACCTGCTCTCTTTTGGGTATTGTAGTTATAACCTGTGTGGTCTGGGAAACAAAAATACAGAGGTTTTTTCCTTTCAGCAAATGGCTACCACAAATGGTTTCTGTAACATACCCTGAATGTACTGTAACTGCCTCTACCTTGAACACGCCTTTTCTATTTAAATAGTTCGTAAGTATATTCTCTGAATTGTGAAGTGCATAACTTACAACCAATGATGTCATAACCTCTACAGTAGCCTTCTGCAAGTTCTGCTACCATCACCAAAATACTCAAAATTCAAGTTGAATGCATTTCCTCCAGGGTTTGAAGGTGATGAAGAGGAAGTCACTGAAGTATAAAGGAATTGTTCTATATAGTGGGGAGGAAATGTCAGAAGTCAGTAGGTCTTCAGCCCACTGTCAGCTGAGCTACCGAAGGGTGGTTTCACAAACTAATTCTCAGACCAGAAGATGGACTGTATTTGATCTCGCAATCCTTTCTGTTCAGCTTCCTGTTCTTCCCATCCCTTTCCATGCTGTGTGTTTCTTCTAGACTCACTCATGTTGCTCCTTTGTGTGTCTGGCCTAGTTTTGAGTATTACTAGTTTAGCTGCAAAGGGACGCCGATGGTATTTGTATATTGCTGGTCCCTGATCTTACATGTGCTTAATTTTAAATATAGGAGTGCGTTAAAGAAAAAAAAAATATCAAGGTGCTAGTTAATGTCTTCTTGGCTTTGCCTCAGTAACTAATGTGAATATTCTTCTTTGCAAAAGTGATTTTTTCAAGATATCTACTTTTGAGGTACTTCTGAGAGGAAACCCTACGGAACAAGAGAGGTTGTTTACTGCTGTTCTGTAATGTGTAAAGACACGTTTTACATGGAAAGTGACATTACTGTGTTCATGAAGGCCTGCATAATTAATAGAATGATAGTTATTGAAGAGAAAGCTGAACTGTAGAGGGATTTTTTTTTGGTCAAGGTTTAAAGCGGTTTGTGAGTATTTCAGTGACTGATGTTTTGGATAAATAATAACAACATAGGAATTGTCTGTGTATGGATGCAAATAATCATATTAGCAGCCCAAAGCTGACATTTCTTCCAAAACACTGAATGCTGATCAAATAGCAAAGCTTTAATAAATAAATAAAATAAAAAAATCACCACTGCCCTGTGGTACTTGCTTTCTAAGGGAAAGTACCAGTTTCATTGTTACCAAATTCTCTCTGCCATATAATCTCTACAGCATCCAGTAGTACCTCATGGGAAAAGCTAGCTATCTCATTTCTCTCTAGAGGAAATGTCCATGTTACGGCCGATCTATGCTTAGGTGTAACTTGTTGCCAAGGTACATGTGGAAGCACTGGAGCTGAGCTCCTGGAAGAGATAGACAGGATTCGTTGCCTTTCTAGCTCATTACACTTTTCTTGCTTGCTGTCCAAGCAAGGATGCTGGGATATATGATGAGTCTTTTCACTGTGGTGAACGTGGCCCTTTATACATCGTAAAGAGGCCCAAAAAAAAAAAAATCCCTCTACCTCTACACCTGTTGTTCACCTGTAAAGCTTCAAGCTACAGAATGATATATATATTTTAACCTTTTTTTTGTCTTTCAGAAGCATACTAATTGTTTGCCACTGAGGCCTTTTATCTACTGTATTTTAATATGTTCATTTGATAGTCATCGAGATCTCTTTGTACTTCTAACCTGTAGATCTTGTCATGTTTCTTACTGCTCCTTTTTCCTTGTTCTCCAGTCCACTTTTAAATTGATAAATAGAAAGCTGTACACTCTCTATTCCTATTACATTTTACACTAGTGGAACTGGTATTTTGGTAGCGCCTTAATTTTGCAGTTGTGAAATGATTGTATCAACTCTTATCTGGGGCTTCTGACCAGATTTAAACGAGTATGTTTAATGTAGATAAACTTGAAACCATTTTTTACTGTTTTAAAGCTAGTTATGAAATGGAGTGTGTACATATGTATAAATATAAATTATTAATCTGCACCTTTTTGTATCTAGTAAATACAGGAGAAGTTCATGTTCTAACCACATTTGGCACTTCTTGTTGCATAAGCAAAGCCAAAACTTTTTTTAAAAATTGCAATGTTCATTTCATGTATATTTGCAATATTCATGGGAAATGTATTTAATTTATGTGATATTTGGAATAAAACAGATTGAATTTATAAGAGCGTGAGTTTATGGGAAAGCTTTGTCGCTCTGCGAGGGCTGAGAGCTAAAGCTGCAATAAATACGGTCTGAACAGAAGCAAGCCGCTGATGGGCTGCTGTCAGAAGAGGGATGATGGTTTGATTTCCGCGACAGGAGCCCAAGGGATGAGAATTGGCCTCACGAGGTTTTAAGCAGCAGATGGTGTTCCAGAAGTCGTGGTTAGATGTTGGCGTTCGTAAGTTGCCTGGCAAAGGTTTTAGCCCCAGCGGGGGAGGCTGGAGAGGATGCGGCACGGTGGGGACCTGGGGCATAGGGGGGTCAATGCAAGGGGTGGATTTGAAGGGGAGCTGGAGGTCTCCAAAAGGGGGGGGGGGGGGGGGGGGGTTAGGGACCCCCCGGCAGAAGGGGGGGGGGGAAGGAGAACCTTTAACTCCCCCAGGAGCAGGATGCAACAAAGATGGGAGAGGGTCGTGCAGTGGGCTCTTCCTTTCGTAGCTTCTTGAATGGAGGATTTTTTAGCCCGAAGTGGGACCTGACTGGCCCCGCGGCATAAACTCTGAAAAAATACTATTAGTTAAGAATACAAAACGCTTTATTGACTAAGCCCAAAGAAATAAAGTACCTTCAGGGTGCTGCTGCGAGGTGGAGATGGCGTTCCACAGCAAGGCACTGGCTGGCACTGGTGGGGGGGACGGGGACACTGGCCAGGCTGCAGCAGCAGCAAAATGCAGTTGTGGGAGAGCAAAGCTGAGCCAGATTGCAGAGAGCATATCCCATCCCTCAGCTATGTCTTGCTGCCAGCTGAGCAAAACCACTCTGAAAGCATTTTTTTGTAAATATTAGCCTTTTTTTGGGGTTGTTTTTCTTTTGCTGTTGGATTGACTTTGGCCTTTGTGCCTGTATTCACTGAATGTCTGAGCAAACAAACATCAGTTACAGGACTGCTCTTTTAGAAGAAGTTGCAAGTGTGTGTTAGAGTACATATGTAAATGCTGCCTGAGCTGTTTTGATATGCCAGACAGCAGCGTTCTTTAAACATCACTACTTTTACCACAGGAAGGAGGTGGGGAAAGATGACTGATCCACCTTTTTATTATCCAGATCCTTGTGTGCTTCAAGAATTTGAGAGCAGTAGAAGCAAGAGAACTGCCTGAAGTTAGTAAACACTAATAAGATTTTTTTTCTCACCCTGCATATCCTTTGCTAGCTGATGTTGAGCCCTGGAAGGACAGCATATCAGATTGTGCCCCTTTCCCTGAGCCTTAGAGTGATGCCGTTCCTTGAGCATGGAAACTTTAGCAGTCTGTTGTCCTCTTTGCATTGCTCTCTGCTTCATCAAACTGGGAACCCGAAATAACGCTGCTGAATTTTGTCCAGCAGCACTTACATTTGGAAGGCTTAGCGCTTGCTGGAAACTGTTGGCTGTTGAGCTATAGAATAAGAAAAATGAGTAATCTGGACCAAAAAATCTGAGGCTGGATCTATGGGGTGAAAAAAAATGTGAATCCATGCCAGTGCTTTCCGTAGTTCCTTTAATGAATGTGTATACTACACTTGCAGCTAAAAGACAGGCATGTTTTTAGTCACATTTATGTTACATGGTAGGAACAAGTTGTTTCTAAATCGAGATGAATATCACTTGCTGACTACTTTTATAGCTCTGTTCTGCCATATGTGGGGTTCAGCCTTGCCTGCTAAATTTGGGACTTTGTGCATCCATGTAACAAATGTCTTCACTTTTAAATGTCTCTTACATTTTATTCTCATAAACAGCTACTGCTCTTTTTGTGCAACAGCCACATTGGAGCCCTGCTCTTGGGAGGACCTGGATTTTGAACACAGAAGCCAGTCCTGGGGGCTAGGCCGGTTAACCTCACCATAGACCAAGTTAGAGAAACAGCTCTGGTCCTCTTTCCCCCACCTGGTATATTCCAGAGGCAGAGCTGAAACTTCTCAAGTTATAATACCGGTGTCTGTGCAGACCTGAGGAGGGTATTTTGAGGATGGTATACTGTAAGCGCCCAAGAGCATAATTTTCTTTAACCATGACAAAAGCCAAAGGGAAGCACCTCCGCGTAGCTCCTTCAGCCCATCAAACCCATTCATGTTCAGTGTGGCGTTAAATCCTCCCACCTTCAGTTCAGCTCATGAAGCCCGTCGGAGACCCACCGTTCAGCATGGCTGGGGTCTTTCCTGTGATTCCCAGTGCCTTCTCATCACGAGACCATGTTCTTCCCTTGCTGATCTGCTCTTTTTCTTTTCAAGAGAGAAAAGGGTAAGAAACCAAATGCCCAGGAAGGTTTTGCTGGCCAGTGGCTCCTGTTGCCGACTTTTTGGCCGGAGCTGCAGTCGGAGAGCAGGTTCAGGCAGCAGGACCCCTCATGTCCTCTCAGAGCAGATCTGACAGGGAAAGACAGACACTTTTAAAGCAGAAGGAGGGAGAAATATGTAATGTGGTGTCCTCCATCATAAGAGGAAAGATATCCAACTTCGAGCCTAGGCTCAGCCCTGCCCTGGAGCAAACACCTCATGTTTTCTGCTGGTGGCTGAGGCATGTCACAGTGCTGGCTGGCTGCCCTTGCTGGCTAACAGAAGGTGGACTTGCTGTGGCTAAGTAGTCATGGTATCTGGAAATGCCTAAGTGCTCCATGCCAGCTTTTTCTTTTATCTGAAATTATTTGGCTTGGACAGAAGGAGGCAAGACCATCTATTGCCTGAATGGAAGTCCACCTAGCAGGGGCCCTTTCCCAGCACCGATGGGATTTCCCCATTCCTTCTCTGTGAATGTTTTGCAGCATTCAGGTAAGCTCTATCCCTATGAAGCTGCCTGGAGATCTGAACGTGCCACCAACATGTCTTAGCAGTTCCAGTTAAACCGCTAGTGATGCTCTGTGTTACAGAGAACAGGTCCTATATCAACATGTGTAACAAGGCCGTCAAGGTAAAGTTGGTTTCTGCAAGTCACATAAATGCCACCAGAGCCTAAGCTGCATCAGGGACTTCGCTAAAGGGTGACTCCGTTCCTCGCACCTTCAGGCAGCTGCCTGGAGCCCTGCCTGTACTTTCAGCAAACACTGTGCTGGAGCATCTGGAAACTATACTGTTCTCTACAGGCGTATCAACAGGTGCTTCTTCATGGGGAACACTCTGAGATCAACTTCTATTTAAGTAAATCTGTGATGTCTTATGTGGAAGCAGGACCCAGAGGATGTAGACCCAAACCTCAGTTGCCAATGGAGGCTGAGGTTCAAATAGAGGTATTCAAAGAAAACAGAAGTTACTTACCCAGAACCAGAAATCACCGAGTACGTGTGCCACGTGCGTTTCCATCCCAGCCTCCTTCCCCTCCTCTGGGCGCTTTGTTTCCTTGGTCTCTGCTGGCAGTGGAGTGCAGGAGGGCACGCGAGGGAGCACCTGAACCTCAAGCACCATGCTCTGCGGTGGGACCAGAGTCATTCCAGAGGAACGGCTAGTATTGAAGTATCCAGCCTGGTTTGCTTAAGGTGTGCCATCCCCAAAGCTTAAGTGTACATGTGGAAAAACTGCTTGGAAGGTACGAAGTTACTTGAAGTTTTTATTCTCTTTTGTTCACTGTTGTTACGAATCTGCTCTCTGCCCCCACACGAGGTGTAACTACAAAGCTCAGGATTAAGCACGCTCAGTCCCAGAGGCAGAGTAAATCCTCCATAAGAATTGGACGATCTTCCAAGTGGCCTAATGTCCTTTCTCAACACTGACTAGTACCAGATACTTGAAAAGTACAAGAAATGCTTGAATGGGAAAAAATGAAAAGAATCTGGCAAGATATTTCTCCCATATCCCTCAATCTGAGGCCTCTATATGTCCTGGAAAGCTTTTTCTTTTCCTCTTCCAAACTTGTGGTATAGAGAATTGGAGGGAGGCTCTGACCTTTAGCAAGTAATGTGGTATAGTCATGGCATTCATAAAAACTATCCATTCCTTCTGCAATATTGTGACCTTGGTGTCACAGTATATCAACAAATTCCTCAAATTAATTGTGCACAGAGATCTTTTTATTTCTTTATCTGTTTTTTAGGTTTTGTGTTGTTTTGTCCAGTTTCAGAATTTCTATTATTTCTGGTATGTTTTCTTTTGCTAGAGAAGCATGAATCGATCACACTTTCCTAAATGAAGGAACTGTAAAAAAATGTGCCTCCCACTGTTCGCACATTGGAATGTTTTGTTTGCTGTGTAGAGAGTTAGGGGACTGAATTCAGAAGCTGTGTGTCTGAATTGCAGGCTCCTCGTTTTGCAGAGGTGCCTCCTTACCAGATGGTGCTTTCAAGCAAGTAATTTTCTTGTTTACTTTGCAGCAATAAACTCTGTGTAAGTGTCAGCTTTGGCTGGACCTTTTCAGATATTGTCACTACGTGCTAATTCAACAGTGTAGAGGCTTCTTGATTTTATCTTTATGGGTAATAACAGGTAATTCCTCTTGGAGGATGCATACTAGACGTTGGTAGAAGTTGATATCCTCCCAGTTGTAAGACAGCTGGGGTGTACCTCCTTTTTTTAGTGAAAATATCTAATCCCCTTTAGAGAGCCAGCTGCTGATTGCAGCTTGCCTTTCACTCAGCACTCTGTTCCTTCTGCGCTTAGTGCTGGAAAATCCGTTGGCACAGAGGAGTTAAATATTTCTGAGTTCTTGCTTGAGTCATCTGTCCCCGTGTCAGGAGTGGGTTTGCTTGCAAGCACGTATGGGATTGGAGACGGTCCTGGAACAGGAGCGCACGGCTCACGTCTGACATGCACCCGCTTGGGCAGAAACCAAGGAACAGCCACTGCAAATAAAAACACACCGGGAGGGGAAGGGATGTGCAGGACTCGGGGAGGATTAGCTGAGGACGCTTTGTTGCTTTGCCCCCATTCATTTGAGGCGGAAGAAGGAATACAGGGAAAGCGGGGATGTTTTTGGCTCTGCCTCTGTTCATAAACTGCGTGTGAGGTTGTTCTCTGGCACCAGCACTGCCTGGCATAGAGCAGCTGTGAATGTCCTCA